TTATTTTCCTTTTCCTTTATTTTCTTTCTTGATTGTGGTATGATTTTGAGGCTTATTTTTCCTTTTTGTCTCTTTATGAGTTGGACTTTGTACATTGGACTTTGTCTTTTGCATGATTTTATTCCTAAGTAGTAAAGGTATGCACGGTTTGAGACTATGTTCGGTTTACTCTGGGATAGGTATATGCTAGGGTAGTTGGTTTGAACTAGAAGGATCATGAAGCCGGATTCTACTTGTTTGTGGCATGCTTGGTAGTTGCTCCCTATAGTCAATTTGACACCACTAGTGATTTTTGCTACATCCATGTGAGGTTCACCGTTTTTCAAGCCTTCAACCTATTTTGTATGAGCGGCGTGGATCCTTGACTACGCAAACCTAATCTATAAAGCTTGATGTATGATTCTTAAACCCGAGACCGACCTATCTAGGGAGGACAAAGGCACATTTTTCGGGGTGGTATTTTTCATTCTTAGAATAGTTTGTATCATCTTTATTTTTGGGTTTACATTTTCCTTCTTGCAACCATTTGAGCCTTATACCTTCTTTTCAAGCCACATCTTTAGTTCTTTGGCCTTTTGTTTCATTTTCTTTCTTTTCTTGGTTTTTGTGAAGCAAATTGATCATAGTTGATGGAGTTTGTGGTGGAGAAGTTGGAAATTTGGTTTTTATGAGTGCAAGTTTGTGTTAAGTTTTCTTTGTGAATAATAGCATGTGTTTGAGAAAAAGCTGTCCTTAATCATAAAAGGCATGGACAAATAAATTGCATTATAGAAAAAGCCGTCCGAATTTAGCACAAGGCAAGGACATTGCAAGTTTAAGTATAAAAAAAATAAAAAATAAAACAAAAAATTGAAAATGTGAGAATTCAAAAATATTTTGATGTATTCTTTTCTCCTTCTAAGCATTGAGGACAATGCTTCATTTTAGCTTGTGGGAGAAGCGTTTACGCTTTTTGTATATATTTCTTGTGAGTATAGCTTCAAGTAAGCTTGGGGGTGTTATTTTTGTTTGGTAATTTCTTGATTGTGTTGTTGAGGATTGATCTCCCTTTTGCTTCACTTTTTAGGAAAACCACCAAATTTTAAATTTTAGCCTACCTTCACCCTTTATGCCTTATGTTACAACCTTGGGGAAAGACCTTTCGACCTAGAAAGTTAAGTCACTATTCGGGGGAGGGAATCATGGGTTATTGCCTAAGGAAAGGGGATGCATAGTCAAGATTGTCGAGTAGCCTAAATAAAATCTCTTTTTCCAGTTCCTTCGAGGAATAATTGGGATGCTCACTAAGGGGAGATTTGAGACTAGTGGGGAGAACGCGGTAAGATCGTTTGGGATGAACGTGGATTGTGATGTCTAGTTCCTATGCCTAGCATACCCTATGTTTCAATCAACCTTAGATATCTTGAAAAGTGCATACCTTGATTACTTGAGAAAGACTTTCATTCATTTGCATTATAGTCTCTATGTAAGTCCATTTCGCAAAGGTTTTGTTTTCATTTTTATTTTCTTTTCTTTTTATGGATTTGCCTCTTTGATGTTTGGTGGAGAGTTGTGGGTAAACTCTTAGGACACCCTTATGTGACCTCACTCGTCCTCATAGGCGACTTTGGGGTTTAAAGGGCTTATTGTAGCTAAAAACAACTGTGATTCCTACGACAGTGAGTCTTAGTGTACATTCTTTTCTTGAGTCTTTCTTTTTCATTTTTAATAAATTTTTCATCCTTATTCTTTCTTGCTTTGTTTTGCTTGAGGACGAGCAAAAGTTTAGCTTGGGGAATTTGATGAGTGACATTTATGGCACTCATTTGATCTCTTTTTGGATGAATTTCATTTCATTTTTTAGCTCTTTTCCTTAGTTTTCCATAGTTTTGCTCTTTATTTCTTTACTTTGTGCTTTTCATAGTTAGTTTCTTTATTTTGTGCATTTCCTTGTTTATTCATTGTTTTTCTCTATTATTTGTTTGTTTTCATTTGTTTTCAGGTTATGATCGAGCATCCAAAGATTTCCGAGCTTCCCTTCAACATTTATCATCACATTGGATGCCTTGTGCTAGCATTTTGAGCTTCAAGTTTAGAGGAACTCGAAGGGAAAGTCTCAAGACCGGTGCACGCATGCGGTGGAGCCATCATCTATGCCACAAACCCACCAAAATGCTCATATACTTGCTGCCTACTTTGATGTTCATCACCATCACCAAGTTGTGTGCACAACGATGATCAAGATCGAAGAAGGGGAGGAGGAGACCCTCCTAGGTGCGGCCGCACAGGAGGCGCGTGCGGGCGCACCCCCCGGGGTTTGTGCCCGTACCCTGCTCTGTGCGCCCTCTTCTTCCCTATGTGCGGCCGCATCTGCGTGGGTCTATTTTTGGACGTCATAACCGACTTCTCCCTTGTATATATAGTAGTTTCTTTCCATTTTTGGGGAGATTCAATTTTTGATTAGATTTTCATTAAGAATTCATTTTTTAGAGATTAGAGAGTAATTAGAGAGAGAATTAGAGCTTTGATCATATTTTGTAGAGAGAGAAACTCTAGTTTGAAGAGAGAGAAATTCATGGTGTATTGTTGATGATTCAAGATTTCTTCATTCTAATTGATCTTTGATCAAATTTTGTAAGGTTTACTCATCTTTTATTTCAATATAAGTTTAATTTTAGTTGATTTCATTTGTTTTTCATATGATTGTTGATTGTTTGATGTTTGATTGAAGTTTCATTGATTTTTGTATTGATTTTAAATTTTTTAATATGATCATGATGAAATTGTTGACTAGTTGTGTTTTGATCTTAATTACCATGATTAGTGAGTAGTTTACTTGTTAGGGTAATGGTGAAGCATGTATGAGTAATGGATTAGTGTTAATTAGGGATAATTGATGGAGTTGATGATGTGATTAAACTTGGTTGATGAATCATGTGCATGTGTGTGATTAATTGAAGATTGGCCAACTTTGATTGTTGCACTAGATTGCATTGTAAGTTCACATTGATACGGACCATTGATTTGTGGCTTGCATTTACACGATTGAGGTGTCTTGTGATGTTTCCTAGCTAGAGTTTATCGTAGTTGACGCTAGTAAGACCTCTAGGAGAATAGCTTGATATGCTCTTTTGGTTGCATGATTGATTTTCCCTCACATTGATTGACTTAGCCAATTTGACCTCCCAATTAGCCATCTCCGTTATGAATGCATGTGGATCCTAGCCCTAGTGTTTATCATATTTGATTTTCTACAAGTTTATTTTTTGTCATTAGCTCTAGTTTTAGCATATAACCCCACTTTCGATTCCGGAATAGCTTAGCACAAGACAATAGACATTCAATCACTATTCCTTTGGGTTCGACCTTTGACTTGCTACTATACTTGTATAGGGGTTGGTTGAGTGTATAAATTTTGTTTGACCGGTTGGGGAGGGTAGTCCAACGACCTACCATTTCACCATCGATCAAGTGCCAACTTGCCACATCTCACATCTATAATTGCTCCTGCAGTGTTAAGGAATGGTCTACCCAAAATAATTGGGGTTTGCATATCCTCAGCCATATCAAGAACAACAAAATCAACAGGTATATAAAATTTACCTACTCTAACAGGAACATCCTCTACAACACCTAAGGGGTATTTAAAAGAACGGTTGGTCATTTGTAGAGTAATATTAGTAGCTTTTAATTTACCCATATTTAGCTTGGAACACACATACAATGGCATAACACTAACACTAGCACCCAAATCACATAATGCATTATCAATCATTAGATTGCTAATATGACAAGGGATAGAAAAGCTACCCGGATCTTTCAGTTTAGGTGGAGATCTATTTTGAAGTACGACACTACATTCTGTAGTGAAAGCTATTGTCTCTACCTCACTAATAGACCTTTTTCTTGTCAATATTTCCTTCATGAATTTTTCATATGCAGGAATTTGTGTAATTAATTCAGTGAAGGGATGTTACCTGCAAATCTTTAACCATCTCCAGAAACTTACCAAACTGCTTATCCAAATTTGTTTTCAAGTGACAATTGGGGAATGGAAGTTTGATAACTAGCTTTGGAGCATTAATGCTCTTACCTGGAGTCTTACCGTGCAATGTATTATCAGAAATATTAGTACTACTCTTTAGCCCTGCAGGGCTATTAGCTACATTCTCAGGTTTAGTGGAATCAAGATTAACATTATTTATTAAAACAAGTTCATCATCTCTGGGCATAGGGGGTCCTTCATAGTGTGAACCACTCCTTAGAGTAATTGCATAGACTTGATCCGTAGGCCTGGTTGGTTGTGCTGGCAGGGCTCCCTGTTGACGGGCTTGTAGAGTAGCAGAATTCTACGCAATTTGATTATCTACAATTTTATTATGTGCTATGATCGAATCAATTTGGGCATCTCTACTCTCCATGTGCTTCTGCATATTAGCCAGCATCGCTCTAATATCTACCAAAGCAGGGTCGGAAGATGAGGAGGGTTGTTGTGGTTGGTTCTTCTGGCTAGTATTGGGGTGGTAATATTTCTGCTGAGTTTGTGGTGGCGCCTGTGATTCTTGTGGAGGTGGCGGATTTTGAGCATTGGTGCTCCGGAAGGAAAGATATGGATGATTCCAGTACCCAGGATTGTAGGTGTAGGAGTATGGGTCATTCTGCCTATAAGCTTGAAAGGCATTGACTTGCTCCATGGAACTCCTGCAATCTTGCTCCCAATGACCTACAATTTCACAATTTTCACAGAAAGCCTCATTAGCATTATTATTAATTGCAGAAACATTAGCTACATTTGCAGTACTAAGATTATCTAATTTCTGGCAAATAGAGGTTAATTCACTACAAGGAATAAGGGCTTAGGCAATACCGAACTCAGCAACGGTTTTCTAAGCGTTGCTAAAAGCATCTATGGCTGCACTTTTCCAGCCTTTGTTTAAGCCCTTTAAAAACCGTTGTTAAAGATTAAGTCATGCAACGGTTTTATCACTACTTTAGTTTAGAATATCAGACAACGGTTAAAGAATGTTAAACTGCAACCTATTATATTTTGGTAAACGCGCCAACGACCCAATTTTTTCACCAAAACCCCAAGCTGCCTGCTTTTTCTCTCTCTAACTCAATTTCTATCTTAGCTCATTTTCTCTCTCTAACTCATGAACAAGATGCTAACCCTCTCATCTATCTCTCAACCTAATTTCGAATTTCTCTGTTCTTTTCTCTCATAAATTTCACTCATCCTTAAAATTCTTAATTTTTCTCACAATCCCCCACTGTAACTAGCTTTAATTTTAAAATTAGGGTTACAAACATCTCATTCACGAGCGTCTAGGTAGTATCAACAAATTTCTCAACAAATAGATCTGATGGAAGCTAGCTGAATTGTGTGTAGAAGCTGTACAATTATCGGGTTAGTGAATTTCTCATCAAGTGCTAGTTGGTCTGCTATTTTTTTTTTTTTGTAAGTGTCCTTCTCCCAGCTGAATTTTGAGAATTAAATCTTCAAATTTGATTTATGGAAAGTTCTGGGTAATTAATACATATACTTTTACAAATTTAATGTATCAAAGAATTTATTTTATTTTAAATAATTTGTTGAGAATGGGTTTGTGTTTTGACGCTACTACCAAGTGAATTTTCTGTTTGCATGTGTTATACATATATAGATTGAGTTTGGGTTTTAATTTGTTGTTGTGTAAATTTAAAAATAATATTGAGTTGCGGTATTTTGGTGTTCATTTGCTCAGTTATTTTCATTTTTTTTTAAATTTTAAGTCCGATCCATTGGGTATTGTGAGTTTATTTATAACATTTTCCATATAGTATTCTTTTTAAACAAATTGAGAAATGTGTTGAGGTTAGTAGGTTACTAGTATAATTTATGCAATTTAGTATCTGATTTTTCAATCTATACCTTGGGGGTAGATTATACGATCATATTATTAAATAAGCAAGTAGTGTGTGATGGTACCTTGGCTTATTTCTATTAGCATAGTATAAGAGGCACACTTTAGTACTCTGATGTGTTGTTTGGTAGTAATACTTGTTGCTAGGTGTAATTGAATGTTCACCTGCATTGTTTGCTTCTGAAATTTATAGTGGAAAGTGAGCACTTTGCTAATATACGCTTTCATTATCAAATGGCAGATAAAAGCATTTGCATAAGACGACGAAGGACAAGGTTGCATCACTAATTTTGAATCCCTCTATATAAGATTGTACGGTCGGTATGTCAACTTCTCTGTACAAATGACACTCTTGTTCTATATATATTATGTGAGCTATTATCTGGTTTTTAATCTTTATTTTATGACCTATTTTAATATTAGTATTAATGTGATTATGTGCACTTAAGGATAGTGTCTACACATAATCTAGGAAACCTCACTAGTTATTGATTCGGTGAACATGTGTTGTTGGAAATATGCTAGTTAATTTCAAGATATTTTATATACCTTAAATGTGATACATTTGTTTGTTTTATATAAATGATGTTGTTTTGTGTGTTATAAGATCCTATTATTCACTAGTTTCTCAAGTCAGTTATTATGTATCTTTTTTGGATGATTTCAATTAAAGTGGAACATGTACAATATCTTTGGAAAATAAGATGATATTGTTAGTGTCATATTGGACTGATAATGACAGTGCATACTTACTCTTAAATGTCATAGTTTTTGGTAAAATTTGTCTTCAACTTTTTTTCTTTTTTTTTTTTTTTTTTTTTTTTTTTTTTTTTTTTTTGTGGGTGTCTAGTTACCATTGATTTTACACAAGAAAATTAATCATGGATCAAAATTGGATGAACTACCCCAGACAATCAGATGAGTATAAAAGAGGGCTAAATGCATTTCTTAATCATTCGTTTGCCTACAATGCCGTTGGGGAACAAATTTGTTGTCCTTGCAAAAATTGTAAGAGGCGATTTTTCCATTATAGACATAATTTATATGATCATTTGGTAGTTGATGGGTTTGTGAAGGGATACAAGAAGTGGGTTCTTCAAAAAGAACAATATTCATCAACTTGTAATGACCCAAAACCTGGTGGTCAGAACACTTATGATGATATTCATAGTTTACTAAATGATACATTTAGAGATGTTGCTGAAGAGCCAAATTCATGCCAAGGGATTGAAGATGAACCGAATGAGGAAGCTAAAAAGTTTTACAAGTTGGTTGAAGAAGGGAAACAAGAGTTATATCCCGGTTGTAAAACTTTCACTAAGCTGTCTTTTCTTATTCGTTTATACCTCTTCAAATGTCTTAATGGATTAAGTAATGTAGCAATTAGTGATCTCTTGGAGCTTTTAAATGAAGCATCTCCCATGGCTAATATTCCTAAATCCTCCTATGAATCAAAGAAAATTATTAAGGATTTAGGTCTTGATTATAAGAAGTTACATGCTTGTCCGAATGACTGTATTCTCTATAGGAAGGAATACGAATCAGCTCAAGAGTGTCCTAAGTGTCATTTATCTAGGTGGAAATCTGATAAGGTTCCTACAAAGGTTTTTAAGGCATTTTCCTTTGAAGCCTAGACTTCAAAGATTATATATGTGCTCAAAAACCGCGGAATCAATGATTTGGCATCATAAAGGACGTCCAAATGAAATAAAATAAGGCATCCAGCAGATGGACAATCTTGGAAGCAATTTGATTCATTGTACCCTAATTTTAAACAAGAACCACGCAACGTTCGATTAGCACTTGCCAGTGATGGGTTCAACCCTTTTCGAACGATGAGTCTTTCTCACAGCACATGGCCAGTTGTATTGATCAACTATAATCTCCCTCCTTGGTTGTCAATGAAACCCGAATATTTTATGCTGTCTTTGTTGATTCCAGGCCCTAAGTCACCAGGAAATGACATAGACATCTATATGCAACCACTGATTGACGAATTGAAGGAATTGTGGGAAAGTGGAGCAGAGACATATGATGCATTTCATAAGCAAACAATTAGGATGCATGCAGCTTTAATGGGGACAATAAATGATTTCCCAGCCTATTCTATGTTGTCGGGGTGGCACACTAAAGGCCATTACGCGTGTCCTTGTTGTAATCATGATGTGACACCTTTGTATTTGAAACATAGCAAAAAAAATTACTACACAAATACTCATAGGTTTCTAGATATAAATCATCCTTGGCGACAAGATGCAAAATCATTTGATGGCAAAATAGAGGATAGATGTGCTCCTCAACCTTTATCAGGTAAAGAGGTGTTACAAGAATTGGAACACTTTGTAAATGATTTTGGGAAAACAAAGAAACCTGGAGGGGGTGATGGTCACTGGAAAAAGAGGTCTAAATTGTTCGAGTTGCCATATTGGGCAGATTTTGCGTGCCGTCATAATCTTGATGTCATGCATACTGAAAAGAATGTCTTTGATAATGTGATTGGTATATTGTTAGACATTCCAGGTAAGACAAAGGATCATCATAAGGCAAGACTAGATTTGATGGAAATGGGAATTAAACCTCATCTTCATCCATATTTATCAGATGATGGTCAACAACTTTTGATACCTCCTGCATCTTTTACAATGGGAAATGCAGAAAAAAGATCTTTTTCTTAAAGTCATCAAAGAAGCTAAACTTCCTTATGGGTATGCATCAGATTTAGGAAGATGTGTTCAAGGTAGAGAAAGAAAACTGGTAATCCACTGGTTTTTCCAACTGAGGTTATGGAGACCAATAAAGCTGGTGTGCAAAAGGATATGCTTGCTGAAAAAGAAGAACTAGATAAGGAAAAGGAAACACATGCTGCCAAAGTAGCTGAATTCACTGAGATGCAAAAAAATTATGAAGCTCAAAAGGAGAGTCTGGCACATGAAGTGGTATCCTTAGTACTTGCTCAACTTAGTGGAGAAAAGGACCTTAATATTACTCCAGAGTTAATCACCAAGGCTGTTGTATCTACTATTGATGATGGTGCAGAAACTTAGGCATTAGCCACTGTTGAATCAGGTATGTTCCCTTTTTCATAAAAATATACCCTCCCCCTCCAATCTCTCTGCCCCCCCCCCCCCCCTCCAATCTCCATTTCTCTTTCTTTATCTTTTGAGATGTCCTATTGTGGTTTGTGAACTTTGTTATTGTTATTGAATCTTGTTATGAAACACCCCTAATTTTGGGTAGTCCAATTTATAGAGGAAACTCTGCTGAATTTTATACTTAAATTGGTTATTCATCTCTCTTTCTTAACCGTATGAATTGTCCTGTTCCGATTTGGGAACTTGGTTTTATTGTATTTGAATCTAGATTTGGAACACTCCCATTTTCTGTGTTGTCCAATTTATAGAGGAAACTCTGCCGAATTTTCCACTTGAATTATTAATTTTAATTCCTAGAATATTTTCTATCATTGATTTTGTTTTGTTTATGTGTACATATATTTTTGCAGGATATTTATATATGGAGCATTGGAGCATACAACTTTTTGTAAATTGAAGTATCAAGCCCGTTAGTATTAGGCGACATTTTGAAATTAGATTTGATTCATATTTTGGTATATATGCAAGTTTTTGGACATGTCAGAAGCCTTGGTAGGATATATGTATGCAAGTTTTTGTACATGTAATTAAGAAGGCTTAGTAGGATATATATGTATGCAAGTTTTTGGACATGTAAGAAGCCTTGGTAGTATATGACTATATGGTTTAATGTAATTGATTGATATATATTACCCATATGATGTATGCACGTTTAAAACATATTAAGCCACTTTATCTATGAATCTTATGTATTAAATTACAAGATTGTGCAAATACATTTTATAAAATAGTAGGATTATCTAATTGGGTACATTTAATTTAATTTGCAAAAAATATAACCGTTGTGCTAGATACTTGAGTTGGTTGCCAAAAGTTCTCGTCACACACTATTTACAGCAAGAAAACCGTTGGTATAGGTAGTAGCTAATTGTTGCAAATCAAATATAAGCGTTGGCTAAAATTCAAAGATAACCGTTGTTTTAGATAGACAAGCGTTACATTAGAAAACTGTGGCCATAGGAAATTACAGGCGACGGTTTGATAATTTCGTTGCCATAGATATCAAAAGTGTTGCCTAATACCTAAGTTTGCGCCACCCTAATGCGACGGTAGCAAAACCGTTGCCAAAGACCTACTGCAACAGTTTTTGAATCTATGGCAACCATTTCAGGCCGTTGCCTAAGCCCTTTTTCCTTGTAGTGATTGAGCTTGTAAAAAGGATACAGAGTCGACACTATGTTTCCCTTTATTAGCAAAGCCTCTGGGATTTCCATATTGGGAATTATGTATTGCCATATCTTCAATAACTTAACCTGCATCATCAACATTAAGGTTCATAAACCTCCCACTAGTTGCAAAATCCAATATTATTCTAGATGAATTTCCAATCCCATTGTAAAAGGCTTGGATCAACTGTCATTGTGCCAGATTATGGTGGGGGCATTCTCTCTGTAGGTCCTTGAACCTCTCCAAGGCCTCATATAGAGTTTTATCGGCTTCTTAGGCAAAGTTGTGAATAGCACTCCGTAGCTGTTCTCTTTGCAGGATAATATTTATTATAAAAATTTAAAACAAGAGTTTCTCAGTTAGTTATACCAAGTGCAGTTCTATTTAATCCATTAAACCATAATTTGGCTTTTCCACATAAAGAGGAAAGAGAATCTCCCTGATTTGGTCTTGTGTGACCCCAGCTTGCCCGATGGTATTACAATACTGACATTAGTCTGCAATATGAAGATTTGGGTCTTCACCCTTAGCTCCACTAAATTGCTTCCTTTCTATCATAGTGATAAATTGGGGTTTAATCTCGAATTGTACCCCATTAAGAGCTGGAGTGGGAGTAAGGTGTGGAAAATCTGTAAGCTTTGGTTGTGAATAATCACTGAGCTTCTTAGGTACCGCCATCTCTGATTCAGGATATGAAGATACCTCTGAATCGCTGGAACCAGTTGGAGGGTCTCAGCGATTATTATTATCACCAAAACACGCCAGGATTTTCCTGTAAAAATTCTATTGTCTATGGAAGGATCGTTCGTTCTCAGGATCGAATGGGATATAACCTGATATGGAACACCTGGGCATAAACAAAGAACTAAAAGCAAATATGAGACTTGCCTCAAAGAACTAACGTTCTCTGAGACAAAAAGAAATAACCTAGACTACAGAAAACAATCAGAAATAAAAATAAAACTGTTTCCCCGGCAACAACGCCAAAATTTGACAGGCTAAAGTCGTATCACCTTATCAAAAGTAATTCCTAAATCCTCTAACTAATGCAGATAGGGAAGTAGGGTAGAATCCACAGGGGAACTGGTCTTTATATTCCTAATTAATTAAAGCAACCTAAATTATAAAGTAACCAATATATTATAATCAAAAGATAACTAAACTATAAGAGTAAAAGTAGAGAAGAATAAAAATAGAGGAAATCAATGAATAAAAGTCCTAAGGCATAGGTTCACCAATAAATAACATTCCAGGGTAAAACATAATAATCAAACATCAACGCATAAATTAATCAGATCATAAAGGGCTTTCGCTACGTAATACAATCACAGAATTAATCTATCGGTATTAAATCTCATCTCTCGTATCTCAACTTAACCATTTATAAATTAATCTGCCTATTGAAACTAGACCTAAACATCAATTCTCATCTCTCGAATCTTGAATCAATATTGTCAAACTCATGCATAAAAGATCAGGCCTAATCTAGTCACACAACATTAAATCAATCAATAGGAAATTAATCTAGCATTGATAATTAACAACAATGAATTACCCTTTCATATTATTTATGGATCCCCACAAACCCTAGAAAGGAAACTACTCACACATAATTAAATCTAAACTAATCAAAGCAATTAAAGGAGACATGATGAAAGAATCAAAGTAAATAAATGAGATTAAGAGAAAATAAATCGTTATCAAAATAATCCGAATTAAGGAGTTGAGTTAAGAACAAGGTATTAAGGGAGAGAAACTAATCTAAAAGCTAAGTAGAGAGAGAAAGTCTAAGAGAAAAGTAAGAAAGAGTAAAAAGAGAGATACTAAACTTGCTTAACGGAAAAGTATTTATATTAAGCAAGAATGCTAAACTAAAACAAACTTAAACGACGATTAAAAATCTACTAATGCTGACACGCGCCTGATCGGGCCCGCCTTTTTCTTCAAGTGCATGTTTCTCGCGCCCGGCCGGGCGCGAGTTGGGGCGTCAGCTGCTCTTCCCCGCCCGGCCGGGCGCGCCTTCAGGCGGAAGCTCCTTTGGTCGGGCAGCGCTCTTGGGCTACTCCTTGGACTTTGATTGGGCTCCAATTCTTCGGGCCAATCTGGATTTCCTCTTCGGGTCTTGAATACTCGGTCCAAATGCCCCGGTATCATATATACTAAGCCCTTAATCACCGGTTTGATGGCTCTAACCGGCCCTGGGCTATGAAGGATGGTCGTGCATCTCCAATGCTCGTAGTTGCTCCATAAAATCCCAGGAAAATGCTCCAAAAGCGTAAATCCCTACAAAAGTCAACCAAATCTACGAAAACATTAGAAAACACCAATTAGTAATAAAAGTGGCTCTAAAGAGCCAAAAACACTACTAATTATGACTAAGGGACGGGGGTAAAATACTATTTAAAATGGACATATCACCCATAATGAAAAAATTATCAATTATCCATGGACCAACCAAAATCAAATATTCTTCATTATTCCAAATTCACCACCTAAAAGCAAAAATGATCAAACCCATACTTCCCATTCACCAGATTACTACTCTAAACTCAAATTTCACTGTATACATTTCTAAATTCACCGAAAACAAACCATCGGGACCAATCTTAACACCCCATTTTATCATTTAGCCATTCTTCACTATTGCGTTACTAAACTAAACAAAATAGTGTCATAAGATAATGCTAATTTTGTAGCACTTCACAACAACATGCTCAATAAAACAGTAGCACAAAACAAAACCAAATAATTTGATGGAAATTTTCAAAAACAAATAAATTTTACCTTCTCGAGCATCATTAAACTCTCCTCCAATGAAAAGTATTACCCCTAGCCGACCTCTGACCACCGCAATATAATTTCTTTACAATAATAACATAAAAGAACTCATTGTTCAAAATAATCAAGGTATAAATACAACAGAGAGTGTATAACACAGTAAACACACAATGCCTAAACTGTATAAAAAAAGATGACAGTAATTACTCACATTTAGCATATAGGAAGTCCATCATTGCTTTCTCCAAATCCAACTAGTCAAACTTAAAAGAACAAAATCATCAGACAAAACTAACACAAATTTACAAAGCCTAATTACTAATATGTCCAATTTATATAGCGTTTTACCCCCGTCCCGCGGTCATAATTAGTAGTGTTTTTGGCTCTTAGAGCCACTTTTATTACTAATTTGTGTTTTCTAGTGTTTTCGTAGTTTTAGTTGTATTTTACATGAAATTGCACTTTTGGAGTATTTTCCCGGGTTTTTATGGATCAACTACGGAAGCCAGAAGTACACGGCCACTCTTGAAGCCCAGGATCAGTGAGAGCCGATGATTAAGGGCTCGGTATGAGATACCGGGGCTATTGGATCGATTAATCAAGACCCAATGAGGAAACTTAGATTGGGCTGAGGAATTGAGCCCAATCGAAATCCAAGCCTCGAAGAAGAAGACTGGGCCCGATCGAACAAGCATACGCCCGATCGGGCGGCTGCGCGCATAAGGACCCTCAAGGAAGAGGCACGCCCGATCGGGTGAGCATAAGCCCGATCGGGCGCGGCATACCAACAACGGGCAAGGAAAAAAGGCGGGCCCGATCGGGCGCGTGTTTTTCTCAGAGTTGATTAGATTAGTTTTAATTTTTGTTTTGAGGAATGTTTAAGTACGAATTATGTACGTAATTTTGGATTACCTTCTTCTTTAGATTTTCTCTCTCTACTTAAGATATTTCCCTCTCTTAAATTCTCTCTCAACTTTTGTTCTTTATTACTTTCATTAATCCATATTTCTTTTGGTAACAATTTCTTCTCTTTTAATTTCAGCTATTTTATTTACTTCTTTCATTATGCTTTGCTTTATATATTTGATTAGTTTAGTTATGATGATGCTTGAGTAGTTTTATTTCTAGGGTTTATGGGGATCTAATAAATGATCTGAAGGGGTAATTTTGTGATTGTTGATTATCAATGCTTGGTTAATTTCCTATTGATTGATTTTATGCTATGCAATTAGGTTTGGCCAGATTTAATTGTATGAGTTTAGCAATATTAATTCGAGATTCGACAGATGAGAATTGATGTTTAGGCTTAGTTTCAATAAGCGGATTAATTTATAAATGGTTAAGTCGAGATTTGACAGATGAGATTTAATCCCGGTAAATTTACTCTGTGATTATAATACGTAGCGAAAGCCCTTTATAATCTGATTAATCAATGCTTGACGATTGCTTATTATGACTTGCCCTGGAATATTGTTTATTAGTGAACCTATGCCCTAGGTCTTTTAATTTTTGATTTTCCCCTACTTTATTTCTTTCGACCTTATTTTTTCGTAGTATAGAATTTATTTACAACAAAATTGGTTACTTTGATAATTTAGATTATAATAATTAATTAGGAGTAGAAATACTTGTTTCCCTGTGGAGTTCGACCCTACTTCCCTATCTACTTTATTTAGAGGACTTAGGTAATT